GAAGAACCTTATTTACCGTTGGCAAAAGAGCTGACACGTAGTATGTGTGGAGAAAAAGCTGCTAAACAGCTCGACCTGCTGCCCCCCCTAAAAGACATGGTCATTCATAGAATTATTTAAATGATATCAAAAGTACGCTGATAGAGCACGTTAAGATGAGCAGATGTTTTTCACTGCAATTAGCTGAGTCTGTAGTCAATTTGGCCAATTCCCTCGTTTATGTTAGATACGAGTTTGAGGGTATGTCCCATGAGGACTTTCTATTATGTAAGCCGCTACCAACAGGAACTAGATAGATAGATACTTTATTGATCCCATGAGGGAAATTGCAGTGCAATTTCTACAGGAGAGCACATATTTCAGCTTCTGAATGAATTTATCGAAGAGAATGGCATCGACTGGATAAAATGTGTCGGAGTTTGTACAGACGGTGCTAGAGCAATGACAAGCTGACATAGCGGTGTAGTTGCACGAATTAAAGAGGTTGCTCCAGAAATTAATGGACGCATTGCAATATTCACCACGAGACCTTTGCCATCAAGAATATGCCTGACTATTTACATTTTGTTAGACTCTGTTGTGAATTGTATCAAAGCTTGAAAAATTAATTCACATCTGTTTTGCTCGACTAAACAGGCTCACCCCCTCTCAATGAAATGGTGCTTTTTTATTATTTTTATTTGTTCTTGTTACAGTTTTTTCTTTCTTTTTAGCGTTTTTTCTGTAAAACGCTTTTAGAAGCCACATTTTAAGGCGCTATAGCAAATAAAGTTTATTATTATAATATTTATTATATGTATGTGTGAGTGTGTGTGCACGCACACTCATGTTGGTCATTGAGAATTTCTGGGGTTCCTATGAGATGATGACTTGTAGGTGGTACTTGGATGCTTTGTTTGGATTAGGGGTGGTACTTGGTCCAAAAAGTTTGAGAACCACAGTTATAGAGCCATTATTGCTTGCATTCTAATAGCTTCTTTAATTGTTTGATTTGGCAACTGTGTCCATTCTAGAATGAAAATCCTACTTAATTTTCACCACACTGTAGCTGTCCTTGGGTTAGGAGGCAAGTTAACCTGGAGGAAAAAGTAGATTTATCAAAGGATGTTCTTAAGGATTATTCAGGTTAATTAACTTAATTTACTGAGGAACAAGTAAAGGTTTATTCCATGCTGAAAAGAGAAGAAAAGAAACACAGCATTTCGGCTGTGGAGCCTTCTACGGGTGTCAAGAATCATGTCTCTCATTCCACATAAATGGTGAAGATTAAACTGCAATTGATTTAGTCCTAGTTAAAAAACCAGTACACTAGTATGGCTATTTTTGTCACTTTAAAGAACAAAGACAGCTGTGTAAACAGTTAAAGAATTTTCATTGTTGTAACTTACAGAATGAGATATTTTGATGTGAAATCCCCAATATAGAACAGTCTACTGTATGTTCTTGTGTTATTCAGCTACTGATATTCACTGAGCATGAGGATTCTAATTATACTTTTTTTTAACTTAGGAAGAACATCCAAATCCTGGCACGAGTTATGAAGGGGCCACCCGAACAGCCTATATTCCTGACTCTCCAGAGGGCAAGAAGGTTCTGAAGCTTCTTCAGCAGGCCTTTAAGCAGAAACTAATTTTCACAATTGGAAGATCTTCGACCACCGGTAGAAGCAATGTGGTTACTTGGAATGATATTCACCATAAAACCCACATAAATGGTGGGCCAACTAAGTAAGTACTCAAAAAGAATTTTCTTTGATCACAGGGTAAAATATATTAAGCTGCTAAAAATATCATTACAGCATTAGAGAAAAAGAATTTAAAATGACGTGTTGTTCACAAATAAATGTAACAGTTTTCTGAGTAAATTACTCAAACTAACTAGGTATGTGAAGATATCTTCAGAAAAGACTTTGGAATGAATGAGAAATGTAAGAAATGGATCAGTAATGTATTGGTTAACATTAATAATGCAAAAGTTGGTTTTGAGAATGTTTTATCCATTTACTTTTAATTTAAACAAGAAAAGAAAATTAAATCCTCTAAAATAAAAATAATGAATCACATATATTAAGTGCATTGTGTTTCAGAATTCAGTAATATTAAGAACCATCCTAACAGAGCTGAAATTCACATTTCTCCCACTGATACCCCACTTTTATTTTATGACCAGCTGCAGGAATTGCTTTTTATTTAGCTTTATTTAGTTTTTTTTATTTTGGATCTGGGTGCAATGTTCTTTATTTGAATCTTTAGCTAATGTGTGTGATCCTTTTTTTATTCAGCTATGGATATCCAGATCCTGATTATCTCACGCGTGTCCAAGAAGAACTGAAAGCCAAAGGAATTTACTGAAGACCAAAAGAATAACTGTTCATACAAAAGTGACTGCCAGCATGGCATCATAGTGGTTTTCAGTTTCATGTGTTTCATTTTTATCCTTAGGAATCTTAGCTCTTTCACGTGAGTCTCCTCTTAGAGAACATTGCATGGGTGTCTTCCTTCTAGGTTGGTCTTCATGTGGCTCTACTCACTAGATTTTCAGTAAACGCCAGGTACTCGAGTATTCAAATCAATTAACTCCTTATCACGCAGTTGTCATCTTTTGTTTAATTCAAATCTTCACAGTCACTTTTCACCAAGCACCAGACCTTCACTAACTTTTACGACCACTAACTTTCCTGGCTGATCCTGTTTAGCAAGGGAAGCTTCTCTACAATACTTTCCTGACACGGCAGCAGCCAGATTACCGTTTTCTTTTTTGTCTCACACACTTAGAGACCACCTGTCTGTTGGTGTTAATGTGCAGGGAGTAGACAGGACTCAACTGCTGCCAGCTCTTTCCTCTTGCTCAGCTGGGAGAAGGAGAAGGTACACTGGTATCTTGCCAAGTGATGCCCTATTTCTCCAGGTACTAATGCTTTCAGTCAACCCTGGTTTGGCAAACCAACCCTGTTCCTTAGCAGTACACATCATTCCCATTGTTCCTGGCAAACAAACATGCATCATACTGTCCAGAAACTGTGATGCCCTTTGACAGAGTGCTTGTTTTTTTTCTTTCTTTTGATGAATATGAAATACTCCATTATTTCCCGCTGCCCTTCTGGTATGTGTGTATGTGATACAAATGAAGTGTGAATGATACTTACCTTTTTTTTGTTTCCCTAGAATCACTGCAGTGTTTCCCCCAGTGGAGTATTGTATTGTGTTGTGTTGATCAAGATGGCCACCAGTCACCTTTCCTGTTTGTAGTATCCCACAAATAATCTTAAAGATGAAGGTTACTGGTGAGCCATCTATAAATAACAGATGTAAGGTTATTTGTTTTGTTTAAGTGGATATATAACTCTTGCATGCACGTTTTTATGGATGATTAAATACTTTATTTTTATCAAATTGCCCATCTCTGTTAAACGAACAAGTAATAGATTTATTCCATGCTGAAAAAAAGAAGAAAAAACACAAGAAAAACAAAACACGAAACAAAAAAAAGCACTCAAGAAAGCTCCACGGCCAAAATGTTGTGTTTTCTTTCTTCCTTTTTTCAGCATGGAATAAACCTATTGTTCCTTTGCAGCCTACGCATGCTGATGCAGCTACCCACCTGAACTACTACATCTGTTAAATATCTGTTAAAAAACATGAGCGAGTCCCTTTAAGAGGATAATCCTTGGAGAGGAGGGGCTATAAAAGTGACTGGCAGAGCTCAGTAGAGAGAGGATGTCTTGGAGGGAAGGTGTGTAGAGAGTACTCCTGTGAGGGTTTTTTTTTTGTTATCCCTATTTTGATGGCAATAAATACAGTTTTGTTTGCATTTGAAGACCGCTGTTTGGGAGTTTCTTTTCTCTTGAGCCAAACCTGGTCGCTTGGCAGGTGATATGCCCCTAAGTACAACCAAAGCTGTGTTTTCTCAGGCCTCCCTAGCTCACTAAGTCCCACAGGCCTGTAAGCCTGTCTGTTGCTGGGGCATTAACTCACTCCCTCCTTCCATAATAGAGGCATATTAGATATAGCCTGAAATTCTCTTCCTCCCAACTGGTCTCATAAGCTAATTAATTGGCTCAGAGGAGTGGCTTTTTCCATGCAGAGCGTATCCTTTCCTTCACTTGCAATTTCACTCGATCTGAAGGGCAGTTACTCAGTCATTCATTACTCACTTATTCATTACTTCATTCTGCAGGTTATGCAGGTTGGCTAGAGGTCACACCATTGGGCCATTTTGCCCATAATGTGCCCAAAAGTTTTGAATCACAATGGTGGCATTGTGAGAAAGGCTATATTCCACCATATTTCCACCTCTCGGGATACAATACTTAAATTTATCAATATAAAATCAGCAAATTCGATTTAAGTCTTGACTTAAAAAGAACATTTGTCTGTGAATGGCAGAAAATTGCTCAAACATAAATTGAAAGTTAATTACTTCTGAGACTCCCCTTTGGAATACAGTAAAAACTGCTATCAGTAACTTTTAAAAGAAAATCAGTTATGATAGTACACTAAGTACACTGTTCACTGCTTTTATTCTATGTAGTGCCTTAAATGTAAGTAAAATGATTTTAAAATCAGTATATCTCAAGCACAGATGTATCTGATATTTCTGTAATTTCTGTATTAAACTTAATTTGTAACTCCATTATAACTGTTTTACAGTAGACAATGATGGATTAATAAAGACAAACAAAAGTAATGCAGCATCCAATGAAAGGCAAAAAAATGTGATTTTGGAAATGTTTAAGTAAGAAAAACAATTTTGTATTTCTTATAACATGTATGAGAACCTAGATCAAAACTTCTATGTTATTCACGTTTAGTTGCAGTAGTAGCTCCATCAGTCTCCGATGTGTATTGTTCAAGGTGAAATATTAATCATATTGTTATCTGCTGTTGAGAGAATAGAAATACATGAAATTGTATCCTGAACATGTATCTTATAAATATACTTGTATTGTGCTGTTTATATCTAATAGTATTTTAATCTATTTTTCAAGCACATGAAAAAAAATAAGCTACAGTGCATGCCTGTAAGCACTGGTATACATTACACAATGCACATGTACAGTGATATGAAGTAACACATATTTCAAAATAAGTAGTATTTTATTATGCAGTATATTTTAATTTATATGATAATACTTGTTTCAGTAATATGCTTCAAAATTCATGTATGAGGCATTTGGGAAGAATGTCATGAAAAAAAATAATGCAAAACTTTACATTTTAAAATACTGTATATTTGGTCGGCATTTAAATTGCACATTTTTAAATATGATACAGTTTTTATTTAAACTGCTAAACCATAAACTACTTCATTGGAATTCATTGGAAATAAATGCTTATGAAGATCAGTTTCAACTGTAATACATTCTAAAATATATTTTGAAAAAATGCTCTTGCAAAATAAGACTGTAGGCCAAAAGACCTTTTATATAGATACAGTATATATTTTAATCAAAACTTTAATGCTCAACAAGAATAATTTTCTGGGCAAAATCTGTCAGCATAATCTGCAAACAAAAAAACTAAATATTACTTGAAACAGAACTGATTGCATAAATATTACCCCCTTTGCTGTGCAAACTGAAATTAATTCAGGTGCACACAGTTATCATATATTGATAGGTCACACAGTTATTGTAGTTGCATGACCTCTGTTGCACTCTGTGTGCAATAATAGTGGTTTATGTGATTTAAGAATAAATATGCCTGTCTCTGTAAAATCCCACAGTCATTGAATTTCAAGATTAAACCATGATGACCATGTAGATATCAAATCAACAAGGGATGAAGTTGTAGAAAAAGCACAGATCAGCATAAGAATATAAAGAATTTCAAAGACACTGAATGTGGCTTTGAATGCAGTGAATTTGATCATTAAGAAGTGGAAGAAGAATCGTATGAGTCAGACATTGACTTGATGAGGTTGTCCCTCCAAACCCAGAGCTAGGAGGAAAGTTAGGTGGAAATTCAACATCGGTGTCTTTGCATGAGTTAAAGTTAAATTAAGATGTCCCAGTTGTTTCACAAAATGTACCCATCTCAAATCCCACATAGTTTGTAACAAAATATTAAAAAGTACAAATGTGTGGTAAACGTTTTTGTGGTCATTTAAGACAAAGTTCATGTCCACTGTCAATCATGGTTGTAGCAACATTATGCAACAGGTTACTTGTAATCAGCAGGGCTAGGCAGCTTGTTAAGAATGAGAGCAAAATGGATTGTACAAAGTACACGGACACTTCAGATGAAAACCTGTTTGTCTGCTAGAGACCAGAATGTTGTTTAAAAATGCACAGTAACTCAAAGGAATAGGGTAAGCAAAGGGTAATAGCTACCCTTGAGTGGCTTAACAAGAAAAAATAAATATCTCTTACCGACCCAGTCAACGTTATGACTTGAATCTGAAAATCTTTGGCAAAGTCTAAAAACTGTGTTTCAGTAAACTCCAACTAATATATCTTGAGCAAATTTACAAATAAAAATGGGTGTAAATCACATGACCCCAGTATGCAAAGGTGGTAGTGACTTACCCAACAAAACTCACAGCTGTAATTGTTGCAAATGTGCTTTCAACAAAAATGTACAGGGGGTTAATACAGTGGTAATATGCAGTTAACAATGGTTTTTGATTTTTCTTTCCAGTTTTTTTTTCTGAAATTTAACTTTTTACTAATGAAAGTGTACAATTTTTGCTGCAAAAAATAACATCATTAGGGAGGAGAATACCATTGCCAGGCATATATGTATATAAATGTATATTTTGCTACTCTTAAATATGGTGTATGTAGTCAAAAATATGTGTAATATGATAGTGGAATATGGTAAATTATCCTTTTTGTTTACTTTTATAACTTCAGGTTTTCATATTGGGAAAAATTAATACACTGCTTGTACAATATAAGCAAGCTGCCTTACATTGCTCTATGGAAATGTATGAACTTTAAATGCTAATAAAATTATTAAAATGAAAGTCAAGATTGCAGTGTGTGCCAGAGCAGTGATCTTTTAATATGTGAGTCTAGGTAGGTAAAGCACTCAAATCCAGCCATAAATTAAGAAAACTATTCTTATTAATAGTGAAAGACCATCATGAACACAAAACAAAAGCTTAAGCTCTTATTTGAACATCCTTCAATTCCTGCTTTCTAACCAGGCAGTTAAGCTGCTTACTGGTTTAGAAAACAAATCTCTGAATCCGTTTTAAAGTCCCTCTCTGAGAATCTTTCAAAAGCACAGTTTTCAAACGTTAGTCTTTCTCTGAAAGTTACAAGGTTACTTTAAATGTTTAAATTTCACCAATTTGAATGTTTCTTTCTAAAAATTCTAAGAAACTCACATATAAAAGGTGTCCATTCCATCTGCCATTCTCTAGGCTCCTCCCACGGCTGCCATGCAGTGTAATGGATATGTCCTCCGTCACCAGACAGCAGAGGTGTTACCACAGACATGTTTTCATAAGTCGTCACCTGACCGAGTGGTTTCTTCCAACACATCTGACTGAGGGCAGCAAGTAATTTCTCACAGCTTTTAAATGCTTAGAAAATGTCCATTATTGTGGTTATCTGTATTGCAATTTATTTGTTTACGGTATATAACTAACATGTTACAATAGCTGACCGTGGTGTTATTACTGGAATATAGAACTGAGCATCAGAAGAAATGGATTACAGCTGCAACATTCCCAAATTTAGTGGGAAAACCACAATACAGTATTTTGTAGCAGGATAACTGACATTTTATTGAACACAAAGTATAGGTCAATTATGCATTTATGAACATTTGTCATCAACAGGGTGTCTAGCATGATAGTTATAGGTGAGTTGTGTGTGTAGTTACCATTGAAAATATAGAGGGATTCTGTCATTCTCCTGTAATATTAAAATATAATATAGTAATGAAGATTCCACATATTGAATCAGGGCATCTGCAGATGTGCAATGGTGCTTATAAGTAGTTATACCATAAATACACATAAGCATAGTAGTCCATACCATAACTGTCCTATTCCCATCATACACAAAGCTGCTATTACACAAACCGCATGAGGACAGGCATTGCCCTACTTCAATGCTGTCAATCTGTAGGGAACAGTTAAAGTCCCAGATCAATGTAGCGATATGTAGTCATGTTGCCATCACAAGTTGAGTTCTATGCCAACTACTGTAGATGCTCCAGCCTGGATTATCATACTTGCCAATGGTTGCCCTAACCATATGGTTTATTAGTTTGCCAGGTTTGGAGAGAAAGAGTGCAAGAGAGCATGTTTCCATTGTTGTACTGCACACTTTAAGTTGCATAGCAATGGTTGGTGATTGGTTGTAGCAACATTGGGTGTAGAATTCTTGCCCACCCACACAGGTTCATCAGTAGTTGGTAATTCTAGATTATTGACTAATGATCTCCAGTTAGGGTGCCACTCCACAACTGTCCTACCTCTGGGGCTTGAGACAAAGAGGCATTGATCAGTTTTTAATTGGGGGTGTCAAGATGGAACCGATTTACGATGTCCTGTTTGTCCCAAAACACACTACTTATAAGAGAGTCTAAAATCCACATCAGTGTGGACTTGTCTGTTGAATGATAATAATTATCTTATCATTCTGCAGAGCTGTGTACACAAAATGTTAATTTATCACTCAATTGGACTTTGTACCACTGATGGCAAGTCCTTCTGAGATGTTCCTTAAACCATTGCATTCTATTGTATCATCGTGGGTAACTGGAACCCTCATCTGACTTGCAAACGATGACTATTCATCTGTCTCCTTATACAGTAGTTCAAGGGGAGAAGCTGGGGTTAGTAAAGTAGAAGAAAGTAGCACCTGGACCGTGTGGGGAACACAAGTGGTCTGTTTGGGTTGGCTGACTTGGCTGCCTCCAGGGCATGAAACTCACCGAGAGTTGCATGAAAGGTGCTGCCTTGCAAATGGAAACGAATCCCTAAAGGGGAAAGCGAAAGAACCCTTTGACTGGAGGAATCACTTTGAGAGGCGCTGCCCTAGGGGTTGAGAATGAAGAGAAAGCTGCTTGAGAAGGAAGTGAAAAAAGACCCCTGACTCGCTTTGGCACTGCCTCTCAACTGGGCTAGGCCCTCAGAGGACTCCCCTCTGGCTCATGCTGTGAGAACCTTCCCAGAAGGTTCATGGTGGCGGTGTCATCCTGAGATCAGGGAATTGAGCTTCACTTACCCCCAGAAGATGGACTCTTTCTGTCCTAACACCCGTGAGGACAAACAAATTGTGTGCCGATGCGTCTTAAAAGAAAGAAGAGAAAAGAATAGGATAGGAAGGTGTAGAGTGTATGTGTGAGCCTGACCGCACAGTGGAGAGGAAAAAACCATGCCAATTCAGGGGAAAACCTCTGGTGGCCCTTGTGGAATAGATGCCCCCACTCTGGGCATACTAGCAATGGATAATGAGCAGCTGAAATGTCTTAGGGGACAGTGTGGATACAAAAGTTGACTGCAGAGGAGAAAAACAGCACAGTGTTTTAATAACTTGAGTATCCAAGATTGTTTGGGCAGCAGAGGTGGCGGCTCCAATTCTGAAAGAATGAGGAGTGTAAAACAGAGGGTTCATGCCAACATTGGAGATTAAAACTGACAGTTGTTGAGAAAACCAGTTCCTGGTTACTGAAATGTACACAGTGAAAGGGATCGGTTAAGAACAGCATAAAAAAAAGAAAGAAGTGGGAGTCTGTGATACAAGACGAGTCAAAGACCCGATTCTAGAAAACGGGATACAGAGGAATCGGTCAATTCTGCAGCTCTTAAGAAACTGAAAAGGGCAGTCAAACACATTGCATCAATAAGTGCATCCTCATAGGAGGTACAACAATCTCATGAAAGTTGAAATGAAGAGGATGTCGGAAGAGACAGTTTTCCTGGAAGAAACAATTGGAGGAGCTGTCTTTGGATTCCATGAAGCGTGAGATGGATTGCTGGAATAGGTAGCAGTGTAGGACGTACAATTCACTGGAGCATGAGGTGGAACTGAATCCCAGAGAGGTAAGGTCTGTAGCACCTGGAGAAAGACAGTGAGAATAGTGAGGTTAAATGGAGAAGAAGGCGGCTGGTGGATGGACAGTAGTTAGTGTGTGCTGTCCAGGCAGAAGACTAGGTCATGTAGGTACTGTAGATGGAACTAAAGCAGCAGACATGCAGTAACGTGTTGATTGAAGCTGGGTGGAGAGATTTAATTTGAGCCAAATAGAAGTTGAAGAAGAGAAGGAGCTATGTTGGGCATCAGGTTGTGGAATTTGGGTATCTGCAAATGGGAAAGTGCGTCCAGTGCTGCAGCATTGCAAAGGCCAGGGGGTGTTCAGCTCTGACGAGGAAGTTCTGGGTAACATAATTCATGGTAAGATGGTGAAAGAGCCTTAAAATCAGAAGGGGAGTTGGAGGATCTTCCTTTATTGATAATGAAAACAGTGGATTTGCTATCACAAAGAAATAAAATTGGTTTCCCATCAACAGGCATCCACAGCAACTGCAGGCAGCAGGGTAGAGTTCCTGAAGGGCTGAGGATATCACATGGAGAGAGAGCTCCTGGATTTGAGAGGTCCAGAAACTACAAAAGCATTGTACATCAAATATACCTGCAAAACTGAGCGGAAGCATCAATGAAGAGAGACAGATCTTGGGGAGCAGAACACCAATCATTGTAAAACATAAAGAGGCCATTTCAGTGGTGGAATAAAAAAGATGGCACATTCTGATAACTTTAGTGTGTCAGCTGATATAGCAACCTGGGCATTGGGAAAGACTGACAGTTGTAGAAAAAATGAGAAGTCGAGAGAGAAAGATTTGCCTTGAGGTATAACGCAGATAACATGATTAAATGCCCCAACAAGGACAGCAAGTAGTAATAGAATTCGAATTCTGAAAATGAGAGATGAGGGAGCAAATATGAGGCAGCTTGTATCTAAAGTGGTAAGGCTTTTCTTGCAGGAAACCTTACAAGTAGCAATATCAATAGGGTTGATCTGGTATGACGAAAAGGAGGCTCTAGGACGGGGCCAATGAGAAAACCTTTTCAGAGCTCAGCTTGAATCAAGGCAGCAATCATCTCAGGTTCAGCAGTAGAGGAACGAAGGTTAGGACAAGAATAAGATGAAGGTGGAATTGAAGATAGGCCAGTACAAAATCAATTTTGTAGGCTATCTTAAAAGTACTTTACAAGAAGGGGGACTGGAAGATCCTAAAGAGTGAGTTCCAGGACGGGAATACAGATGGGTGTATGGACATTTTCCAGCAGTGGGACAGATGAGTGTAGTGTGGGTAATGCTGCAAAGTTACAAATGGGCATACCTTAGCTGGACAGGAAGAATGGTTAAAATTATTACAAATCTGTTTAGACAAAAAAATTTAATTGGGCATCCATTTTTGTCCAAACATGAGGAACGAGATGGAGGAACAGAAGAATGAATAGACGCAGGAAACGAGGGGGGTCAGAGAACAGAAGAGGTGGAGGAAGAGGCAGATGCGGGAGATCTAGAGCAGAATGAGCTGGAGTGAGCTGGAGTGAGCTGTAGAAGCGCAAGTCCTGCAAGCGTGAGCTCTAAGGACACTAAAATTTCCCAAGGGTTCAATTTTTGAGAAGACATGGGGTCCAGGATTTTAGGGTTAACAGCAAGATCTCTACAATCCATTCATCAGTAATCAATAAATTCAGAGCTGGCTAATTAGAGATAAACAAGATTGACATCTTTACCTTCGAGAATCTGGTGGTGGAAATGAGGAGCGCGAGCATGAAGATGAACTGTAGGTGCAGCCAGAGAGCCTGAGGCAGTAGGTGTGCTGAGGGTGAAATTTGACACAGGGATGGGGAGGGAGACTGGAGATGCTTGGGGCTGTTGTAGGAGGCAGAGTTGAAATTAAGGAACTTTCAAGCGTGCGCAGACTGGAATTGATCTCAGTTGCAGAATGAGAGAGGGGTTCGAGAAAATTTGAGAAACCTTCTGGGAAAATTTGATTTTCCGCTGGGTGGCTATGCAGCAGGAGGAGAAGGCGGAGGAGCTGTCCAATTTTCAGAGGGCAGATCTGAAGAACCTGCAGTGGAGAGAGAAGGAGGAAGGACTGGTTAAGCTGAGATGGAACTGCATAAAAGTAGAAAAGGGCCTAGATGGTCAGACTGAAGTGGAATAGGAATAGATTGGTCGAAAAGTGACTTGAGGAGTTTAGAGAGAGGCCACTCCTTTACAAAAGATGAGTCGCTATATCCGTGGTGGTGCAGCGGGATTAAGAGTGGTGTAATCCAGGAGGCTGGATACGAGAAGAAGAAATGTCAGCGACCGGCGAGAGAGGTGGATTACATTGAATCTCAGGAGGGTGATGGGGCAAAACAGCAGAAAATGAACAGTGAAGAGAATCTTCAAGATACTGAAGAAGAAGAAGGTCATTCGAGGGTGGCGGAGAATAGGCATGCAAACCAATATACAGTAGGTCTGGTGCTCAGAACTCAAGAAACCTGAATTCAAAACTTTAGATATTTAAATAGGAAAGAGAAAACTGAATGACCCCCAGCTTCTCCCCCTGAACCTTCACCTGTTGGTTTCCATTTCCTGAACTGATATCTGTACAGTTCATGCACTGTCTTTTGTAAAAATGATCACAAAGATGGAACACAAACACCTGTCAATCTAAGAGAGATTCCTTGATAAGCCTCATTTCATGATTTACTGTATCATTTAAAAACTATGTTTGGCTATAACTATAACTCCCTGACATGTTAGAAACCAGAGGTCGCAGAAACTTTAGACAGCAAGTGCCAGTTCATTCAACATACCACTGTCAAGAAGGCCTTTTTATTTATAAGCATGGGACACTGTGTTTGTGTTTCTTGCTTTTCACCAGGCTTAAAACTCAGCAGAATCAAACACCTGTTACTAATCAACTTTTCCACTAATGATGTGATTTAGTTCTGTAGAAGTCAAAGTCTCTCTGGTGTATCATAGTCAGTTAAGAATAATGAATCAAAATAATGGCTAAAGTATTTGCATAATATCCTAAATATGTATGCTTTATTTTTTCTAAAAACACATTCATAGAGTGATGAGTCTCTTTTGATGCTGAGTATACATACCTTGGAATATGCAGCTTCAGGGAGTTAATTAAAATGATTGAATTAAAAAGTTTTTCTCACAGGTTCAAGTAAACAATTACTCAGCTGTAACAAAAATACACAGAATACAGGAACCCTATGGACTAGGTCTGAGGTAACACAAAACAATCTGGGATTAAGACAAGTAAGCACGAAACCCTAGCAGAAGTAGTGCCTGTCTAGAGGACAATGAAACAAGAACGTGAAATTCTATAAAATGTGAAGACAGAAACCTTGTAGACTCAGAGCACCAGAATAGACAGACTCCTTCTATTGTAGTTCTACAGCTGTGTATATCTCCTAGATTCCATTTTGCTGTTCACACAAATTATTAAAGACAAAACTAAAGAAAAGTATATCAAAAGAAAGTTCAAACAATGCCTTATAAAAACCTGAATGCTCAGACTGAAGAGTTTTCTTAAGGTGAGACGTGTAACATTTTATTGTCAGCAATCACTTAACGATTGAAATCTATTGTTTAGGTATTTGGATCCATGGACTCAATGTTTGGTGGAAACATGGTTGGCAGCTCTTGAGTCTTTTTGGGCAAGTCTCTACTAACTTCGAACACCGGCTTAGTGTAATTTTTACCCATTCTTGGCACTTCTGAAAGATCCACTTTACCATGCTCAAAGAGATATTAAACTATGACTTGCTTTCTTGGTGCTCTCCAAAGCAGTTAAGTTGAAGCAAAGCGGTCTCCCTGCCTAAGATTTACTGATTTTCAGAAGAGGTGCTTGTGGAGCCTCTGGAGACCTCAAAGCAAGGATCTAACTGATTCTAGGTTATATGTGTTAACATAACACGTAACATGTGTATCCAACATTGAAGGCACTCCTGATTGAAAGAAACTGGTCTGACTAATGTGGATTAAAAAATACATTTGAATTCAACACTGAACAACGAGCAGGGGGAATTACATATTATGAATAATTTTTTGAGTCATCACAAATGTTTTTAAACAAATCGAGTTTATTGAAAGTAAACATACATAAGCTACTATTTCCATCACTAGTAAAAAGCCAGAAAAGCTGATTCATTTGCAAAAGAAAAAAAGCTGTAAAAACAATACAGAAAATATTTGGCCTCCGTATTTTTTTGTGGCAGTATTTACATTATATACAGTACTGTCAAATTTGCCATTACTCTGTTTCTAAGGCACGAAAGGCTAAGTAGCAGAATATTTTCGATATATTGTGCAGAAAATACAAAAGAAAATAAAGTAAAAACCATTCATCATAATTCCATGAAAACTGAATAAAAGCAATATTGTTCCAATTTGCTTATGATAATGTTAATGTGATACTTTCATGTTGGTAATCAATATATATGAGTCTGTAGTTTTGGTGTCACTGGTAGATGTAATACTTTTTAGTGCAGATTTTTCTTATATAAAGAGATCTGATACATAAAGAAGATACTATTACACCACACTGAAAGTAGATGGAAAAAGGCACATAAAAGAAACGGGGTCCAGATGAGTGCACAAAAAAATCACTGATAACTCCCTCTCATTCAAGCTTTGCCTTATTTTCCTTTAAGTACTAAGTCAATACATTTCAGGTACAGATTAGCTGTTAACATTTTTTATTCCATTTTCCATTTAACAGAAGCCAGATTAGCTTTAAAACCTATCTGTATGTACATTAAAATAGTTTAACGTGTCCATATTATCAAATAAAACCTTTGCAGTTTGACAGGACTAAATTACAAAATGTTTTTATTTTAAAATCGTATGCATTAAAATATGATCAGGTGTTGTCAAGTGCACTAGCTTGTAAAGTCAAGGAATCTGTAGTATGATGAAAACTTCACACATTGAGGAAAACCCACTAAGAATTTATTTCCTACAAGAAAATGTAACTAGTATGCTATATCTCTATAGTGTTTGGTGATTAAACAAATAATGCTTTTTAGAATATAACAAACTAAACAGAGTCTACAGCAAGACGTGCCAGGTGAAATTGGATGATGAAGTCCAATGTGACCGAAATATGTAATTTGCATCAAAATATTAATAATAAATAGAAGCAAAAACTGACCTTTCAGTGATAATTAAACTGCAATGTTGTTACTTTCTTTCTAACATAATTTGATTTTTTTTTAATATGTAATTATTAAAAACATTGTATAGTAGTAATAAAACATAACAGTCATGGCAAAATTGGAGAAAGCAGTTAACATATTAAACACTAATTGATGAACCTAGTACAATTTCAAACTCTTGAATTTACTCCTCCTGATTTACATATCACTAATAAACATTTATGTGTTAGGGAATGAACATAAAATGTTTTCAAGTAAAGCTACACATTTTATTTCCAGAAATAATACAGAACAATGCCTGTAACCGATACATCAATGTCACAAACATGAAAACAAAATAGCAACAGGATATTCCTCCTTGCACATTACTGTTTTAAATTTTCCAATTTACAGTTGTATTTGTTATTTTTAAACAGCCTTAGTTTGTATACTCAAACAAAGAAGGCTTTCTGAATAAACTCTGAATCTAAGATTAATTCAATGTAACTATTAATTAAATAAAGAATTCCAAAGTGTCTGAAGTCCAAATATTCTGAGACTTAAAGATTTGGAGATTTTTACATCAGTGCAGAAAATTCTGTACTATCATTTTTGTCATTTTTAATGCTGGGGACAAAGTAAACTTGACAAACTTGGGTAACAAGCAAATATACATATATTACTTTTATCTCCCCCAAATATATTAATTTTGAATATACTTTTAAGTTTATTGCTTAATTGCTTAATCTAAAAAAACCTTTAACATCTCTTACAAAAACTAGTTCTGTGTTCTGAAGTCTGTTTAAAATAACATTAACATGAAAAACAGGAACAATTACAGATATCAGATGTATTTAAATTCAGTCAGTGACCATGAAACAAGTAATGTTTTCAAATAAAAGGAAAGCCTGTGCCTAAAACTCATAGTCGAAATGTGAATTTCCCAATACAAGTGAGACCCGTAAAGTTATGTTGAAATATGGACATCCATAGGAGACACCAATAAAACAGCAAGACTTAACTGTTAGAGAATAAAAAAAGTAAAATAATTGTAAATGTGTACACTTTTCAAAGATGCCTGTTCTAAGAAACATAAGTTGATATCTTCCCCATTAATGAGACTGTGGTAACTATATTTTCTTAAAGTGGCTTTGTATTTGTAGTGTCAACTAGGCATATTATTCCACTTCACAAATGGCAAACAAAAATGTTCTTTCTGGATTGGGCATGGACTCATTCATGAACTAATATTTTATAGAACAGCACAAACAGACAAATGCCAAAAATCTAAGAGGACAATTCTACATGTATTTACTATTTAAAAATGGAAACGTCATCCAATATTAACTGTATTACTAAAAACAGTACTTGGGTGCCAACCTTTAAGAGATAACTGAAAATGTACTGTACACTTCTAGAGAATTCAAATCATAATAAGTTCAGAGAGCTCTTCAACAGTGTGCATTCTTCCTTGTTGTTTCCCATTTGAAAAGGGAAAAATCTGACAAAAGTTAAGTATCAAGCAGCAAAGGAAGAACTGATTCGCTGACCAGTTTCTGTACACCAGCTGCTCCTGGAATACAAAGCAGCAACCATTAATTCTTGGTCTTATTTCTTTACGCACATGTGAAGGAAATCAAAGAGGTAGGGTGAGACCTCAGATCATGAGTACCAAAAACATTTATATCACCAGCATTATCTTACAACACCAGAGCCAGATCCCAAAGGTGAATGGTGAATACACTTAACTTCCATACCACTTTGTGACAAAAACCTTTCTAGTATCTCATCAGCATTTTCTGTTGTCACTCAGAATTTTGGTTGGATTTTACATTCTTTGATTCAAAGGATCCACAAACATTATATACTGTTAAGAGTAAAATGCCAAATTAAGGATCTTTCATTATTAAAAAGCAACATGTGGGGGATAAAAGCATTTACACAGCATTTCATTTAACATTTATTATGTTATACACAAAATTCAATTAAAGTGCATATTAATGCCTTCAAATTGATGACAAGTGGATTGCAATTAAAAAAAACTCTCTCATGAATAAAACAGGAAGGTCTGTTTTTTGGAATTGTATTTCACAGGAAGAAGGGAACATTTCCCAAACAGGCCAAACAACTAGAAGGTTCAAAATGGTGAAAGAAAGTGTATTACCAATTTCAATTTTTGCTAAAAATAGTAAGTAGATTGTTACTCAAACTGTAAATTCCTGAATGGCTATGAATTTCTTAGTTTCTATAGTTTATAAACTTCTTATTCAAAATCGTACTATCTTCTTAAGTCACATTCACATAAATGACATTGTTAAAGTACTAGGGGTATAAACAGTGTAGCTCTTATTTTAGATTTCAAACATACAAATGTTTGATAAGAGTGTTTCATGTGTTACAAATTAGATAAATTCACTTTTTCAGATCAAAATCCAGCTTTGAAACTGAAGAAAGTGTTTTTCAGGCAGCAAATTCATCATGATTCTCTATCCCGTTGCAGTTTGATTGCCTATGACTCGAAGTATCTCCCTATGGATACTGAGGTCCTGCGTGTTGATGCTTGAATCACCAACTTGCCCATCTTCATATCTGAAAGACAAGTAAAGGTGTTTTTACTTCAAAGGAATACATCCCCTAACTTTAGGTTATTAATTCACTTTCATTATTATTTTCATAAACAGATGCTTTATCCAAGGTGATTTATTGAAGCTACATTTATCAATTTATATTTTTGAACACAAATATTGGTAATTTATGAACATTTCTCAGTCCCAGAGTCTTAATTTCACATTTTCTAATGGCCAGTTCATATTTAAATTAATGTTATTAATAAATGTAACACTTGTTGACAGCAGTTCAGGTGGGTAGCTGCAACAGTATGCGTAGGCAGCAAAGGAACAAGTAATAGGTTTATTCCATGCTGAAAAAAAGAAGAAAGAGAACACAATGTTTCGGCCGTGGAGCCTTCTTCAGGTGTCTTCACACCTGAAGACACCTGAAGAAGGCTCCACGGCCGAAACGTTGTGTTCTCTTTCTTCTTTTTTTCAGCATGGGATAAACCTATTACTTGTTGACAGCTGTGAAAATAGCTTAAATAAAAATATTGTAAAAGTGTGTATGATAAAAAAATAGAAAAAATAAAAACAAATTATTTTAAAAAATAATAGAAACAAACAGGTTTTTGTTCACATTTTAGTTATTCTTCCTACTGAGTCATCAACCCCTTAGGTCCAGTCTTGGTAACATAATCCAGATAAGCTTTGGTAACTTTACCCAGACTTCATCCATATCAGTCAATGGATCTTCACCTTTTGTTAATAGTAAATATTTTAGTGTTGATTCATAATTAATAGTGACTGTTACAGTATATGTCAGATGGAAATAAGCAAAAGAAAATTTTGAAAAGTATATTTATATATAAGGGAGAATTATATAACTGAGTGTGTGTGGGCTGCTGTATGGTAAGACAGCTTTTCGAAAGGGCTGTAATATGTGTACTTAGCTGTGACTTTTTAAATGTGAACCTAACATTATTGTGTTAAAATAACTTTAAAAAGAGCATAGCTTCAAGGATAGCACTATTTTAAAAATTAAAAAGAGGAAGATTTTAAAAACTTTTCCCCTTTATTCCAAAATAACAGTACCCTAACAGGAAGCAGTATATGAAATGTACTGTATCCCTTCAAGTGATGACATTTTTTTTAAATTAATGTACTGCATGAATTGGATAGCCGATCCACAGAATGCAGCCTACCTAGAAAAGCTGTCTGGAGAATGAGATGTTCTACCTCAACAATTAGCAGACTTGTATAGAGAAACCATAAAACCAGTTCTGTGAGGGACACACAGAAAACAGAGGGTCACCACATTGTCCCTGGAGTGTCACATGTATCTATTTGATCCATCAACTGTACAGTATGTAATAGTTTCAGACAGCAGTGGCTACAGCACGAGAATTTCCAGAAGGAAATATTAGCTAGAATAAATAGCATAAAATTCATCATCCACATCTGAGATAGTGGCAGTGGGAGTGTTTTACTTATCCACAAATACTGTTTTTTCCATTGTGTGACCACAATGTAGCTAATAAGAGTTAAGAAATTGAGAATATTCTGTACAATGGGTGTCATCATATTACATAAAAAATATTGCTGCTCTGGAATCACAAGAGAGAAGAGAAACCAGATACACTGCTAGTCTTAAATGAAAGTCTTACACTGACAGGCTAAAAGACCTGAACCTTTATAGTATGAAAAAGAAAAGTGGACCTCATTCAAGCATTTAAAATCCTTCAAGTCAACTCAATGTACTGTAGGATCAACTTTGAAGATCAAAACCGAAGCACACAAGTGGAAACTACAAATGTACTTACGTAGACTAAACTTAGAATAAGAAGCACTTTCTAACGTTGTGGGTTCTGTAAGTGGAACAAGCTTAAGTTTCCTTAATGTCTTTGTATTGGACCAAATACAAATACATGCAAATACACATTTAATTGCGCTTGTGCATATGACACTGAACTGAAGGACTTTATATCCAATGCAAAATTTGTGTGATGATGATTGCTTGGAGTTTTTTTTCCCACAATTTCTGTGTTATTGTTTGATATCTATTTTAAATTATGTTTTTTTTTAATTCAGTGAACTGAGAATTGTTTTTCTTATGTGCACCACTGTAGATTAGTGTGAATAACAGGCATGATTTAAAAATAAAATGATTAAAAAAATTATTAAAGAATACTGCAGGCATTGCTTGGGTTCACCCTGCAAGTAAATCAACCTACTTTGGTTTTATCTGTTGTGAGGAAAATGAATAAATCTCAGTAACACATTACTTACACAAAGAAAAATCTGGTACAGACATGATCTGTGTTTGGAACTACCCAGATATCGCCATGCTTGTGCAGATCAGGAGAAGTAATAACTGCAAAAAAAAAACATAATTCATTTATTCAATACTTTTTTCCTTTAAATTAATAAAATCCAATTAGAAACTACATGTAAAATCAAGACTGAAACACGAACATACCTTCACATAAGGCTATGCACTTCAAATTACGGCTTTGCAAAAACTGTGGATGCTGTCCCTTTTTCTGTGACTGTGCAACAAAATAGCAGAAAATAAGTACATATTCCAATACATTTAAATGAATAGAACAAGAAGATCAGTTAAAATGAGAGCTGATCTCATTAAGCAATGGTTAAATATCTATAGAAGCACTGGTAAACATGGAGCTGCAAAATTAATTGCAAACAAATTTACAATTTGAGAATCTTGCTTAGAGTGATAGAGCTTTCATTACACACTGAAAGACAGTATAAAAATAATCAGTTTATTTGGGCTCAGGCTCTACTGCTAGTGTCCATTCCTGGAAACACAAAGCGGGCAAAATGAATTGAAGTTCCACACAACATGCTCCAGAAGACAGTATGCCAAATGTACAAGACACGGTGTTAATACCAAATACTATTCTAAAAACATATTGTTTTAGAAAGATACTGTATGTATACATGAAGATACAGTAGTAAGTACTGCATCTTTAAGGAAAAGAAAAACTTACATCACCTTTGAAAAGTATCTACACAGTCTGGTTGGGACATAAAAGACTTGCATCCATATGCTCATCTTCACAACACTCTAATAGATCAGGTGCCTATTTTCAGCAAACTACTGACATCAATACTGTGAACACACCCAGAATGACTAAAGCTGATGCCTCAAATCATCAGTCATCAAATTTAGATACATCTTAAAAATGTACAGATGCAGCCATTCAAAATGGGTGAGGTATCACATGGTATCACACGGTATCACGCAGTGTCACGTGGTTAATCGCGCGTCATTTGACGCTCTGCCAGAAACTATCCGGCGTCACCTTGTAAAACCGCCAGGGGGAGCTTAACCTCTCATGTACAGCATTTGAGCCTTTAATTTTGAACTGTGTATTACAGCATGTTAATCATCAGTCATTAAAATGTTGGTATATTTTATGAAAGCAAGATTGCTCAGTTGGACAAAAGTACACAACCTACCTTTATCAGAAATATTTATGCATCAAAGCCTTTACTGAAGATATTACTAATAGTATTAATAATGGATGACTTTGGACAAGCTGTATACTCAAAGTATAATTTCTTTAGCACATTTGTACAAGCACTTGGAATCTGTCCAAGCCATACTTTGTCAGGCATTTTGTTTTACTTCAACGGGCATAAAAACGTCCTTGCTTTTAACCGGGGTGTTTCATAATTTCTAACTACAAAAATGATTTAAAATGCGACACTTATCATTCAACTAGAGCTCAAAATATCACAAGGATTCTCAAGAGCACAGCAAAGAGTGTATTAAAAGACACTTGTATTTATCAACGCTTTCTTTTCCGTATGCCAGATTTTATGGAACCACTTCAGAAGGGTGTCAGCCAGTCAGATTCCAGGAATCGGTACTTTAAAGGAAAAATACACACCGGTATTCCATTTCTCCCTAACGATTTTAAGCATCGAAGTATTTAAATAGCATGTGAAATAGCATGTGAAAAAGTGGTAGTTTTAAGCTTTTCTGCCAATATAATATGAAATCGCGTATCTAAAGAATTTAATAACGGTATGATTATATTCATGTACTGCGACAGGGCTGTGTAGGGCTGTTTCGCCTCCCTGTTCATGTGAGTTGTCTTGTAGCCTACTGGTCTACGTGCCTGACTAACAATTGGTAGGTTGTGTGTTCAAATCCAGCTGGTGCTGGACTTTTCTTTTAACAAACATTTCTTCGAAAAAATAGAATAGCGATATTATGGACAATCCATTGACTTTTATATTTCAAAATATCACAACATGATCGATTCTAAGTCATTTTTGATAACAATGAATAGTCACCTTCTTCCCTTCTGACAACGGTCCCTGCTTCTGCTTCCTGCTTCTATTGTGTGTGTGCAACAGAGTAAATTTTTATAGAGAAATGGAGGCTGGACAGTATGCGTTAAAATATAAACATTTATATTGATTTAAATCGTGTTCTGATTTAAATCGCAAACGCGTGTTATCCTTTAATACACTCTTTGCTGTGTACCAAGACCAGCTATATACTGTATGTTTATGTTCCATAATTAATATCGTTTATGGCCTTCACACGCGTTACAGTATGCTCCTATTCTTTTTATGCTCAGCTACTAAGATTTCCCTTCAGTGATAAAATTCAATATCTACAACGGGCACAGTAAAGACTTTTACAGTAAGTCTTTCTACGACAGACCAACGGACCACGAGTGCCCCTATCGGTCAACCAATCACGTACCGCGGTACCCAGCGTGATCTTGCGTCATGATACGCGACACCGCAGCCAATTACCTGCGGTACGTGTCTGTACCGCGCACTTTGAATGGCTGCAATTGTATGTATAAATAAAAAAGTGAATGGGGCTTGAATTTCTGCAGTCTTCTCCCAATGAACTGTTACATATAAATATGTATACTGTATCTCACCTGTCCATTCACATTGGCCTTACTGTTTGATGCAGCATCATCCTTAGAAGTCACTTTCTGCTGCTTTTTGTTCATCCCTACAAGTTCATAAGGAGCATTTTCAAAATCAAAGCTAATAAAAATTAAACACACATTAAATATCAAAATTAACCACACTTAATCGTGTTCTGTCAAGATCCACAGCTTCTCCATAATTTAATTTCTTATATGATATCCATTAATAATGAAAATAAATCATTTTTACCACACACTCCAGTGTGTGACTTAAATCTTTCTTTTGTGAAGTAGTTTTGGACTGTCACTAAACACGTTATTTATGTATCCCAATGTTTTTCATTCAAAAACTAAGTTTGGTCTTGACAGATTAAACTGCTAAACTTGCTAAACTTGTATTATACCAGTAACTTAACAGTCAATACAGAATTATGTTCCTGTATTCCGAGATTTGTCAAAGGACAAGCTTCATCATACCAACCTGAGTAACCGAAGGAAATGCTTGACAATGGGCTGAGATAGATTCCACTTCCATAGATGGCTCCATGAAGCTACACAATCATAATGGAACATTAGAACAGTCTCTTGATTGATTACTTCATTCTCCGAAAACATACTTTCTGTTGTCTTTTTCAGTAATAAAAGCAAAAGTCTCTTAGATATTGTTTACATTTTAACTTCATAAATATAAATCTTAACTCAGCAATTGAGCTATTCTTTATTTCAGTTGAAGTGGAATTTTGATTTGTCCAGGTACAGTATCTCTTGAAAGTTAACTACAATCAATAAAGACACTATAAAAGTAATTGTGTGAATCAAGGAGACATGCAGGTGTTCATCTGAGAGTATTCAGTGTCTGATGTTTGTTTTAGGACTTTAAATAACTTGATTAGTTTGTGAGACTGATATATTACTGGAATTTTAATTTTTACTTCTTCTTCATCTATACTCAATTACCTGCACTCTTAAGAGATTTGCTGCTGGTTTATGATAAAAGTTCTACTTGACTGTGCCTACAGTATGATAAGTATTTCTAAATAAGTCCTGAAAGTTAAATGAATACTTTGAACAAAACAATTAACTTATGATGAGTGTTTTGTCAGCATTTTTTGGCATGTTTAGTTTGCACACAGCTAGTGTTGTATAATACCCGACATGAAAAATAGGAATACATTTAAATGATTTTTTTAAAGTGAATGACAAAGCATTGATGTATTACTAGCTACAAAATAAACTCCACAAAGGAGTTTGTAAAATTTGGAGTTTTATTCAAATTATCTTACCTGCATTCTTTATAGTGTGCCCTAGTTACACTTTTGTTTTCAAAAGGATTACAGCATCCATTATCAACACATTCCTAAATTTAAATTCTCTTAGAATAATTGCTTCTCATTGTTCTCTAAAAAATAGATTTATTCTCCTATGAATAGATACCCCAAACCTCCTTGCATCCAATTCTTGATAAGCAGTGGCATATCTATAATGTACATTAAACCTTTAAAATGTAAATGTTGCCTGCAAAGATTTGCCTTGTTCCAATAATTACATTTTTTCTCTGCATCATTTGCTGGATTAAATTAGAAATGAGGACAGTGTGCATTCATTTAGTGAATATGGGCAGTTGTAAATTATGTATGTTGGAAAGGACAAATCTGAACTGAAAAGGCAGTCGGTTACAACAGTGATGAGTTTTTGAACACTTTAATCATAACTCAAGTTTTTTCATTTATTTCCTGCCCATCCAAACTTAAAGAAATTGTTAAAAATGTATTTTATAGGTTAGTATTAATACAGACCATGTACAGCTGTTAGTTTGTTTTGCTGTAAATACATTTACAACTGTTGCAAATCCAGTTAATTCCTGGTTTATCATTGTGAATTTATATATATAATATAACACTTAATAAAGAAGACACTGTGCCGATATCAACTGTTAAATCAGTTACTGTATCTACTGGTCAATTAAAAAATATTTCTTGTACAGTTTCTAGTCTTGTTCTATACTCAGTAAAAACATTCCAAAGATAAAGGGATGCACATACTGTACAAGGAAAATCTAGAAGTAAAGACCTTGATCAATTTATTCCAAAAATTATGACAATACTGGTAATCTGAGGTAGCAGACAATTATCCATCTGATAATAACATTAAGCTGTAGTCTTACTATGGGGAAAAAAAGAACATAGTCAAAATGAAAAACCTAAAAACAGTATCATTCTCACTTTTGTGATAACATCATGCTACACAGTTTCTGCATGCACTGTCCATGTCTTTTCTCATTTTTCTGCCTCTATGTTTAAACATGCTTGTAACTTTCAATAAAAATGATTTTACTGGGTTTTACTGATATTCAGGCATTTATGAAAGCACTATTTTACCTGTAGTCTTGTGTTTGATGCAACTACTAAACCATTCCTCAGTATGGAGTGCCAGTTCTCTATGTGTGAACCACTGAAAAACAGAAAACAAATCCATTTTTTTTCTAAAGAATGTCAGTTGTGAAAGTATTGCAGTCAATAAGGAGACAATTTGAGTAGATATGTAATGGATATCACATGGCACATATAAGTATATGGAGTTAAGGATGTATAATTAGCAGTGGAAAAAACAATACTGAATTGAGCTAAGACATGTCAAGAGGTTGCAAAGTGGTCATATAATCATGTCTCCTTCAATTGCAAGCACAGCATGTTGATCAAGGCCATACATCATACTGGTCCAGGACATGTGATCCTTTATTTATCCCCATAACCAACCAGAGGTCTATAGGATTAAGGTCAGTTGATAGTGCAGGCCAAACAAGTTATCATGTTATCATAATGTATCATGATGCAACTGCACGTGCATGCAACTACTTTTTTAGGCTGATTTGAAAGACTTTATAATGAAAATCTTGCTCGGAGGTATAATTGACAAGACGTATATATCCTTGTGTTCATTTACAGCTGCCTATTCCTCTGCATCATGCAAATCCTTAGCTTATAACGCTGATCATCATAGTATGAGTAACAAGTCTTGTTGAATAATTAGACAAAAGGTGGCAGCAAAGTCTTACAAGAAGAGCTTTATTCCAAAAAGTCTTGGCTCTAAGCAACTATACCACACATCAATGTGTACAGTCCAATTTTTGGAAAATGTTTTTTAGTAGTTTAATTTAATAAAGATATTAGTATAATATCTTTTCAGGTAGATCAACCTTGATCGTACAAGCATACCCTGTGAATTGCCGAGATGTGGGTTAATCAGTGAAGAGCAAGCTTTGTGCTTGTTCATTGTTTTTTCATTTTTTTTAAATATTGTTGACATTTGTAGAAAATCTGAGAACTCTGATGATAATGAACTTAAAGTATTTAAATATGCATAAAAAGTTACACAAAGTTATTTTGATTTTGCAAAACAAAAAAAAATGCAATTGAAACAATGGTGAATCAATTCTTTAGAGACAGGTCCAAAAGAGAAAGGTAAGAAAACCCACTGAAATGCGAAGGTACTCCCGAAGAGTTTTTTGGCAGCTCTGAAATTGGATTCTTTGGCCGGCGGACTGCTGAGCAGAAGGAACTGGTGAGGGGTGTGCATGAACTTCAGTTGCTGTCACCAAAAAAAAAAAGAGATGTTAAAACTTCTCAAAGAGCTTTGTTATTTTTAGATGTGCACTGAATCTCACACTTCGTATGACTTCAGTGTCATACTTACAGCAATTAAAAAAATGTTTGACAGAAACCAAAATTATCCGTGAAATTTTTTTTTCCTTATACGATTTTTGCCATTATGTTCTCAAATTTTGCAAAGTGTACAGGTATAGCAAACTGAAAATAAAACAAGTTGTGTATTATTTCGAAATTTTTCACTTCATCCATAACATTGTGGAGTATAAATTGTATTAGTGACCTGTATTTATAGAATAGTAACATTCAATAATAGTCTGCTATTTATCGTTTAAAGAAAAGAAAACACCAACAATTATGTAAGAAAATCCATCCATTATGAGAAAGCTGCTTAGAAAGACTTCAACCTGGATAAACCAACACTTTATTGCTGGACACATACCCACAAGTTCATAGATACAGTTTAGAGACACCAAACCAGCCTAACTTAACCAGCACGTATTTGGAAGTAGGAGTAAATCGGAAAGAGCAGTCAGAGGAAAACTACACTAAAGTGAAAACTCAATAAGGTGCCCCAGACAGGAATTGAACCCAGCACCAGAGCTGTGAAGCTGTAGCTCTAACCAGAATGCCATCCAACTAAAAAAACATTCCAGATAATATACAACCCATTCTTCATTTATTTTTAAAACCCACAGAATTGTCAAAGGTTTTATAGTGTTAAGTTTGGGTTTATAGACTTTTGGTTTTGGCACTAGCTGTTCCAATCTACTCCAAAACCAGACTATATCAGTTTTCCTCTCTTCTATAGTTTTTATTTCTTAAATTGTAGTTCTGGAAAAGAACTCCTGAGTACCTCCTTGTAACTTCCTATAGTCTGTCACAAGACTTTTTTACACTATTCACTTTAGCTACATGTTCATATGTGTTAAAGGATTAAAATAACTGAACTGCAGCTGCTAAATAAAGTGAAAGATTACCAACCCTTTTTTTAGATGTCTTGACAGATAATAAATGTTTCCAGAGAAAACCTCATTTTCATACCTGGCTCTTTGTCAGTTATAAAAACCAGGCTTAAATCCACAACAGAAGTCTGTTAATGACAAGGTTTTACTTTCTTTTCAGTAACATTTTAGCCATTAACGTCACATGAGCAGTGTCTAACAAATTCTTTGTTGAATTCCTTCTCACCACTGAACCCTACAATTATCAGAAGAAAAGTCTGATCCACCACTGCAAATTTCTCAAAATTTTTAATTTGATTCTTAATAAAGAGTTACGTTAACAACCATTGAGGTTAGTCTGTATGATGCTCTTGGCAAGAAATTACAGAAAAATGTTTCAGTTTCAAAATCAAAGCTAAACACTGCAGCTATGTAATCTTTCATCTGTATTGATGGATATTATGTAGAACTCAATAAAAAAAGATATCCAATATGAAAGAGCTTTCTTTTTTTCTTTCCAAAAAAATACTTCTTCGGTGTTATTGAATAAATTGTAATATATTCAATGCATAAACTGAATTTTCTAATTGGCTCAAAATAAACATAATTAATTTGTAATAACGAAGTAGCCTTTATGTTTCATAGCTTCCTATGCAAATACATTTAATTGTACTAGCTTTGCTTGTGCTCAAGCCACTAAATTTTTATTATTTTTCAGGGTATGCAATTGGATTCAATTTTAGAAATCAAAAGTGGAGAGCTAGCTATTACTTATTAATATGATTTAATGGTCTTTAAACACCTACACAAGTATTTCCTTCCAGATAATTATGAGCAAATCTCATGCATGACAAAACAGACAGCATTTCAATACATTACTAGCATTTCCACCTAGTAGCTTGATCCCAGAAGCTAAGAAAAGCTGGACCTGACTAGTACTTGAATGGGAGACCCCCAGAGGAAAACCGGCTGCTATAAATGGCGATGGTTCACCAATTGGTGGCACTCTTCCTTCTGGATAAGAATTTCCAAACTAAGACATCAGAATGGTGACAAGACATTGCAGTATAGATCTCTTCCTTGTCTACTCCTTGAATACTTGGTAATTGAACATCTGACAGTGATTTTCATAAGAGTAAAGGTGTCCTTGTTAAATGCCACTTCAGACTTGCACAATCTATACAATTCAAATGATGATATCTAACTTATTCATCTAAGGTGCTGTATAGTGGGTAATAATAGACTGCTAACTATTATTAGCAGTCACACCACTGTGTTCATATATTATATATAAAACAAAGATTTACCTGGACAACAAAGTTTCCTTTGCCCAACTGCATATAATATTAAACATATTGTAGCATACAGTGATATCAATCATATATTATAATATAATAAACAAACCATTACTATGTTGATATTTAATTAATTTTATTTTGAATGAAGACAATGTTAATGGATTTTCAGTGAACATATGTTTAGAAATCTGTTTTACTTTGCTTTTCTAAATTGTTCAACTTTGATTAAAATTCTTGTTGTAGAAACTCAAATGAAGAGGTGACTTACTCTGGGTACTGGTAGCTTGACTATGTGAGACCTGTTACTGGATATCACCCTAGAGAAAAGGAAAATTAATTAGTTCACTGGATGTTCATAGGAAGATTCCAATTTGTGTCCCTTGCTTTCTCATTTAAACATATTCAATAAAGTAACAGCAAGCCTAACCTCAGGAAAAATAAGAGGTACATGAAAATGCAGAATTCAATAAAAAGCTTTTTTTGCTGAGTGGTTCTCCTCTTGCCCTTAATCTTTTTTTTTCCAATAAAAAACTCAAATGTTTCCATTTTAGAATAATTTATAAGAATAACTGTCATCTAATCAAATGATAAGTCAACCTGTTCCAAACAGGAAGAAAAAGTGTGTTTTTCTAAATAATTATCTTTATTTTACTTTTCCTTAATCTTTTTGTATGTCCTTGCATTCTGCTGGATAAAAAATAAATAAAAATGAATTTGAATTAAACACTGCAATTAATCTTGTATATCCACTGGAAATGTAAGGTAATTTAATAACACTAAAATTATTTAGCTTATTCAGTGATAAATCTCAGTTAAAGTCACTAAAACCTTTCATTTTAGACCAGGAAATCAAGACTTCTTGTCCTTCTCTGGGCCTTTTCTGTGGAGTCTTGTGGAGTAGAGTGAACTAATGAATTATGCATAGTCTTGACTCAAAGGAAATTAAAATAGTTGACAAACAACATAATTCATTACAAGGAGATATTAGTAGGAGTTATTTTCAAAGGTAAGCAGCAGTTTCCAGTCCAGGTTTTCTTGGGCCAGACCACTTATGCTTTAGCTCAGAAAGACATTAGAGAAAAAAATAACAGCAATTTCCAATACTTTAATCCACACTTTTGATATTATTTCCACAGTTGCTTTTAAAGAGTTAAACACCATACCTTACTCCATAAAACATCACATATGCCCTAACTTTACAACATTGATTTATAGGCAATCTCACACAAGACATATAGACCTATACACAAGATAAAGTCTTATCTACAGTATATCCTTTTATATGACTATTTGACCAATTAAAAACAGGCTTCTAGATACGAAGACAGTTTTCTACAACTTCACCAAAGTCTTGTGTTCTATAGTTGTAAGTTGTATAGTTGTTCTATAGTTCCAATGATTTCTGTAATACTTCTATAATCTGCCATGCTAACTTCTGCCACCCACCCACCATCTTCATGCTACCAACAAAACAAGACTTTTATAGAAATCTTACTGCTGTTGTAGTACTGATAGTTCACAGGGATGCAGGTTGTAAATCTAGAACTTAGCTCATGACATGCTCTGTTCCTCATCATTAGTATTACCTACTGTAGCTGCTACGTTTTACCAAGTTATGTAACAATTTGTAGAATCTGTTGATTGAAACTGTAAAAATTCAAGTACCAATATTTTAAGGTAATTTTATTGATTGCCTTCTGAATAGCCTTATGCAGAGTTAAAGTCTGTCTGTTTACAAGCACAGTCAAACAAAATGATAGCTATTCACACTTGGAATCCACCTTCCCCTGAAACTCCTGTCTTCAATACTCCCTAATTTTATGAAAAAACAACAGATTTCATACCATTGTAGAAGGGGGTGAGCCAATGGATCATGTTTATCCATCTGTTTCTTTATTTCCAAATATGGTGCCTGCAAAAGAAAAAAATAAAACCTTATTTTATTCTGTGTGCTGAAAGTCTGGGCATTTTAATTATTATGTATTAAGCATTATGTTAAGTATTTGAGTATTGAGTATTTTAGTATAATTATATACAGTTGTTTATTTAGCAAGATAAATGGGTAATAATTTAAATATAATTGTATATTTACTGATTGAATGACGTGTAAATTAAAAATGAATAATTCCGCGGTAGCTATTTATCTGACACCTATTTATGATTACAGAAAACTTGTTTCTCCTCCAAAAAAAAATAGTACTACAAACACTGTATTTTGTATTTTTCAATATTTAATGTATGTTTAATATCATGTTATCATAAATGACTGATCACAGACCATAATTTTTTGTTATCAATTTGTAACTTGATAACAAAAAATGTAGCTATACTGTACATAGTAATAGTAAAGTAGTATTAAACACTAAAAACTATCGAACTATAAGTATATGAATGTTGCAGAATTACCTGTGTCATCTCTCTGATTGATGTAAGGCTATCAAGGGCTCTCATCACTCGATCATAGTCCTTCTTCTGTAATGAAAAAAAAATACATATTAGCTGTGTACAACAAGCACACAGTGTAAAAATATGGTGGAAAGTATTCCCTGTCCAGTTCCAAGAAATATATTAAGTTTCTCTGTTCACAGGAAAGACAATAAAGGATTACACAGTAGTTTATACGTGAAAATTGAATGGCAGCAATTTATCACTACATTTCACTATGATGTCTTTCATGAGTTTTTTAATAAAGAGTAATACACCACTCTTATAAAGTTTGTAGGAGTTACATTGTAGAAGTACATGGAGTCAAGTTACTTAGCCATTTTACATTTTGTTGTGTAAACCGTATTCAATTAATTTCAACACAACTGGCTCCAAAGTTGTAAATCTGCTGAAATCCCAAGCACAGGTAAAAATGCATGGCTGTGCCCAATCTTCTATCTTGAAGAACGAGGAGGAGGACAGAAGGAGAAGCAGCAGAAGAAGGATTATAAATTATACCCGTGGGTTGAAGGCCAGTGTCTTAGAATCATTAGGATCAACCACTGAAGGATATGGCTCGAAAATCACAACTTTCCTTGGGGATTCCAGGGCTGATCGACACATGGAGACCAACAAATCAACAACCTGCAGGAAAATCAAAAGAAAAGTGTACATGACTTTTAAGCAGAAAGTGTAACATCTGGCTTATGGCAACAAGGAAACTAAACTGAATATACTGCATTGGACTTATTTAGTATTCACATTTCAGTAAGCAACTAATTATTTAAAGAAGAGTTTATTTAATATTTATACAAATGTAGTTAATGTGTGCCCTATACATCTTAAGAATAAGAAATGACTACCAAGAGCTTCTTTATGTAAAAGCTAAGCTTTATTTTTCACTGTAAACCGCCACCAATAACATAAAATCAGCATACAAATCTGTTAAAGTTTGTTTTTTCCTGAGGAGTTGATTTTTTTCATGAGTCAGTGTGGCATAGGAAATGTAAAGAAAACAGTACATGTACTCAGGAACTGATCTAACCTTCTGAAGATCAGCTGAGAGACTATGGGATATAATATTATGATAATGTCCATAACACTATGATCATTTTAAATTTTAACACAGTCAAATTTAAAATGATCATAGTTAAAACATATATAAAACAGCTAAAATGTTAAAAAAATTAATTATATTACAGATTACTATCTAGAATGTGTTTATCTGCTGTAAAGCTGCTATATTCAAGATGTAATCTTGACAGGACACTTTTTTAAAATGTCTGTTTTCTAAAGAATACACACATTTCTCAGCATAACCTTGCAAAAAAAAAAGGATCGGTTTGCATCTGGTTGTTTGCTAACATTTTCCAAGTATAGATGCTTGTTGGATATTACTCTTCAGTTTGGCAGTTAGCAACACTCAAAGGTAACCATGGTTAATTTGGAGATGACTTTCATTGCCAGTATGATCATTTATGTACTGTATTTCAAAATCTATTCTTTATCAGTATTGCCAAATGCAAATTGATAAGAATAATAAAGATGTATTTGATGTATTTTGTATCTGAATGATGTGGCTTGTATACTGGCATTTGCAGGATATTGCAATTCCACGTGTGCTTGTGAACTGACAGATCCGAATGAGCACCCACTTACAGATAAAAACATAAACTAAAATTCGCAGAGTGAATAATGCACCGTTTTACACATCTTTTTTGTCTACCACAGTTTAGGAGAGTAGAAATATTGTAGCAATAAGGCCTATTATTTCCCTTTTAATTAAGGGTTATTAAATATTTTTTATAATCTTTGTGTTCCTTTACCAAGCAGCCTGGAGCCTCTCTCTAAATGCACACAGAGGCCCCTCTTCGTGATCTCAGTCACAGAATGGCTTAGTGTTCTTTTTTTGTGGGAAAATAAGGGAAGTGAGTTTGTCTTTTGGATAACCAAACCTTATGGTATCTCAGCTACTTACTAACTTTTGTTGCCCCTTATAAACTAACCCAACACATCTCCATTGGCTAACCACTTGCTCTCTAAATCTCTCCATCTAAATTTGCAATCTGACTTTTACAACCACGTGACTGCAACAGTCCAAGTCGGAACTTTTGTCGAAGATGCCAGGCTGAGAGAGTGTGTCCATAAAGTGCTGAATTCTATCCGATATATTCTTCCTAAAAAGAAGAAATCTTGTGTTCACGAGCCCACTGTTATTTTCGCCTGATCAACAAAATTAGACTGTTGGACTCTTTCTTTTTGTTGACCTCCAGAATATCTGAGTTTTCTGAACAAAAACTATAGCTGGAATGCATTGACTTTCCCCTTGTTTAACTTGCCAGATGTCATGAGAACAAACTGTGCAGACCGTTTTTAAAAAACAAAGTCAGCAAGAAGCTACTTTTGGCACAGGTGCCTCAGCCTACGGAAGAGCTCTCTCTCTCCTCTGTCTGCCAATACCTGTGTTGTGTATTTGTGCTGTAATTTAAATTAATGTTTGTTTTTAAGCTTGCCACCTGAGTTACTTTATTACCAAGATGAATTACAGTAACCAAGAAACTACATGCTGTTTTACACTCCGCATTCAAATTCAAAGGGCTTCATTGGCATTAGCGATTAACTCCAGTGGTGTCAAAGCAGATGCAACTAACATAACATTTACAGAATTTACAATAAAACATTTTATTGGACATAGACATACTGGACATCATATAAAACATTATTGTGAGACAGACTGTGACAGGACATGACATACTGGGCTGCCAGCTCAATTGAGTTTCCCCATTCCTCTCACAGTAGGATTGGAAGCTATTCTTCTTTTGGCAGGTGTGGGAATTGTGGGATTAGATTTGTTATTTTAATGAAGAATGGGTGTCTAATCTCCATTCCCTGACTATAGGAGGTGTAATACTGTTATAATTTACTTGCATAGCAAGCTAGTGTCTGGATCTTATTTTTGGTATTTGCTGATTATTGGAAAATCAATACTTCTTAAAATTTAAATTACAATAGACATTTTTGTCCTGTGGCAGCACAGTATCAACTTAGCCTCTTGTCACTCAGCATAAAAAATATTTTAAAAAATAATCATGCTGTACCTGGGCTCCGGTAGCAATTTCATCCGCAGCTTCATTCATTACTCCCAGTGTTTGGAAAGCAAACACACACAGCTCTCGCTCACATACTGTGGGCTACAAACAAGAACAACTGTTACAAATACTGATTAGCATTTTTAAAAAGTTTCTAATGCACAGGATTCTTGGTGAGAAATCAAAACCTTTAAAAAGTTCTCTATAAACCATTCTTAACCAATCTCTATAAACCACTATAAAAGACCAACTAGCCCATTTGGTTGTTAGAAGCTAATCAATCCAGGGATTTCATATAGCCAATCCTTAGAAGACTGCCGTCCCTATTTCTATGACCAGTTATCAAATCTTGGTAACAAAATAATTTCATAAACGTTATAGAAAAAAAAAATCAAATTTTAAATTAAGCACAAAATCATAAACTTTGTAAAAGTACTGTAAGTCACCATGTTGCCACAAATGCGCATTTGAGTTCCCATGAATTGCGATGTTATGCAGCCCTTCCTGCTCACTAGTCACAACAATGACTAAAGTAATGTGATGTACAGGCGAATTCGTACAAGTTGTGCCGCAGATATTTCACTGTAGTTCCAATGTGGTCCGAGTTAACAAGTAAGTAGTATTTCTTGGCAAAACCGTCTTGAAATCGAAAGCAATATTTTTATTGGATTAAAAGAGATGTATTCACAAGCCTATTTGTTTACAATGTGAAAAGGCTGCAGCACACCACCGGACGTTTTGAAGCCTCGTTCTGAATCGCAGAACACGGCACTGTGAATACCTGGAAATGTCCTCTATTTTGTAATGTAAATTGAGGTTTTACAAGTTACTGTATACATTTTACTTTTACTGTAGTTTGAAATGCACTCATCAATGCTGATTCTTGGATTATTGGATTCAACAACAGACAGTAGTTGTGTAGCTTGTTCCATACTTCCACAACACTTGTGTAAAGTCGTGCCTCCTATTCATGGTTCTAATTACACATCCACATAGTTTCCCTAGCTTGCATTTGCCTGTATATTCTGAAGACGTCCATTGGGTTGAATTTCTATTTACATCTGGTCTTCTTTATTGAAGACTAAAAAGGTTCAGTTATTCAGCCTGTCAGAGTAGAACACCCCCTTAAACCCCAGAATGTATCTAGTAAGTTTTCTCTGCATTGATTTCAGAGCAGCAATATCTTTTTAATAATGTGTTGATAAAACTGTACATAATATTGTAAGAGATCTTACCAGTTCAAGCTTGAAAACTAAGGGAATGCAATACTCTGCAATTGTCCATAATAAAATGGAAAACATCTGGACAGTTGTATATTTACCTGGTCAGTAAATACTGTACAGTATATACAGTAGTATCTAAAATAAACATAAGTACATCAGAATCTGGATCACGGATATAAATTGAGTAGAGCAATGGATCCAGTGCAGATTCCTTTGGCACTCCACTAATTACATCGACCCAGTTTGAGCATTCACCTCTTACTTGTGCTCTTACACTTATTTTCCCAAAGATAAATACAGAGATATGTTGGTGATGCTAGGGATGTGTTTTTGAAAAGTGCACCATATAGTGAGTTAATGGAAAATTAATGTTTTTTTTTTTCCAATTAGGGTAACTATAAAAAAGCAGGAGTGTTGGTTTTAGGACTTAAAAAGACTACACACTAATGTTAAAAGTATTTTGGTACATTTTTTGTTTTTCTTAATACATCACCAATGCAGAAAATGAAAGAAAATAGTTCTCATGACACATAAATATGTGTTACAAGTATAAAAAAAGCATACAAATAGCATACTTTTTTTAGCTCTGTTGTGTAGAACTGTAAAATAGTGATGTGAAAATCTTGGACTGGAGCTTGGCAATTGGATTTTCGTGTTTGAGGAGTCATTCTGCTAATGCATTTCCCATATTGCTACACACAATATTTAATACAGTAGTAAAGATATCACACAATAATTGTTTACATTGTTAATAATTGTTTGCTAATGTAATGTATGTTATATATTTATGAATACAGTATGGTGACATACATAGTGCTTTAGAGTGCTGAAATGAAGGTAACATGCTATGCCAGTGCTTTTTTAATCCTGTCATAAAACTGAGATAATGTGTCATGAAAGATGCCGTATAAATTTAAAATGGTCACAATCACTATCAGCCTCATCATCAGCATTCTTATTATTGCTATGAAAAGAGACCCAATATCTTTTAGTTTTTCAGATGAAAGTAAATGCTCCAGTTAACAGCAATGAACAGCTGTGGTACTAATATCTCATTAATTGCTCTTTGATTGTACTCTGTGATGTCTTTGCATCACAATAAACGCAGTCTTTGGACATGCTGATGACCGCTTTGTATAATTTATGTCTGTTTGGAGTTGTGTCCCTTTCATAACTCACACAATTTTAAGCAAATTAAGTGAAATTAACAACGATACAGTTTTGATTTTAAACCCCTATGCACTCAGCATACTTCCAGATTTGTATTAAATTTTATTTTTGTATTGTATAAAAACATAATGCCAGATAGCATTATTGAGGCCTAAGATGTTAAAAAAAAAGTTCCTGATCAAGCAGATAAATAAAATAAAATAAATGTGTTGATAAATATAAGCACATATCCATGTAATAACAGTAAACTGCAAAGTGCTCTGCACATTCATGTGATACTGCACAGGAAAGATAATTCATAAAATGGTTCATCGACCACCAATTACAATAAATATTAATATTCATTATTATTTATTATCATGTATTTTGGGGGGGAGTGCTAAAAACCCATGGTCATGCTACATTAGCTTTAAGATGTAAGATAGAATTAATCAATTTTACACTTCAGCTCCTGACATAAAATTAAGATAGAAGATGTTTATGACTATTATTTTGCTGGTGTAATTAAACATCAAATCACATAAAGTCTATATTAATAGAATACCCTCACACTGATGCAGGACATTGCGTTTTATGGTTTAAGAAAGCAGAAGTGGGACATTTTGACCATTCAATATACAGTATATGTACCATACAGGGTATAAATGAACAGAACTGAAATCCTTAATAATAATAATAATAATAATAATAATAATAATCTTTATTTTATATAGCGCCTTTAAAGGCAGCTTCTCAAAGCGGTTTACAGGATGAAAATAACAATAAATAAGAAGAATGCAACAATAAATAAGAAGAATACACAAGATAAGACACAATAAC